TCATTAGTACTATAAATAAATATCGGATGCAGACTATTTAATGTACAACTACTATACAAATTCCAGAGTATGTTCTGCCCGGAGCGTCGTCCCGGCGACAAGCACGGTCTTCCCGCAACCCTGTCCGTGATGTCGGAATGCGCAGAGGCCACCGGAGGCATATTGGACTCTCGTGTCACGGCTGCCTTACACCAGTACCACAAATACGTGCAGTACATACACGTGTCCGACAAATACTGTGGACCTAAGCAAGTGGAGTGAGTACTTTTCATATAACCTTAAATTGTAAAGCCTTTAAAATATCATACTGGGGAGCGTTCAAGTAACGAATTTTTTGGGGTCTTTTTGTAAAACGTTACGATGCGGGGCGGGGATTGAATTACGCTTTATTGTTAATATTATTTTCGACTTTCCAGTACTTTAGGTACAAAGAGTCACTAGGTGGTCATGAAACGTTAAAACGTTGTACCCATAATAAATAAATATTGGGTACAGAAAAACGTTACGGTGCGTTACATGGGGGGGGTTTGTCAATAATCGCCAAAAATTGCGTGACGTAATACTTAAACGCATTCTTAACAGTAATTTAATGAGGGATTAAATTTATTAACTATAATTTAGTAATAAGTTAATAAAGTATGTATTTGTTACAATGTTTATCATTATTTTAGTATGAAAATAATATTTAACCCTGTAACAAACCCAGTTTAAGCATTCAGAAAATACGGCTTGATTAAAATAGGCTCTAATAATGAAATATTTATCATATATATCGGACACTCAATAAATACTACAACAATAGTTCGCAAATTGTACAAAGATAATATTTAAAAAATATTATTGAATTTAATTTCTCAGGGAACAAACAGTGACCAAACCTCCGGAAACAGAAAAGCTGGTGCTAGTCAGTCTGACTCTTGGCCCTGATGGAGGTGGTGATGAAGTCAGGCCATTATTACTTCTGGTCTTCTACTTGTTAGATAAGATTAAACGGCTACGACTTAGCAAGGAGGTATTTAATAGATTTATTTTACTGTTAACAGTCAAAATTTATATATTTAATAATTCTAGAGAATATGGTATAAACATCTTATGGTTGTACAATCTAAACTCCGCATATTCTGCCACATATAATGGCGTGCAAATTTATTTTACATAATTAAAAATTAGAATTTTACATAGTAGTTATATATTACAATCAAACCTTATGTGATTTTATAATCACATTATTTATTTTTTATATCCGCACTATTAGCCATATATAAATAGGCATGCAAATGTCATAAATTTTTTGCAATGTCATATAATAAAAACATTAACATAATGTCATAATAATAAGTTAAGCTATTTATAATTAATTGTTGTCAAACTTATAGGCCAAATATTCGCCCACGCTATAAAAGCACCCTGACTTTAAAAACCTAATCGCCATAGAATGTTATGTATGATTTTTTTTGAAGTGAGAATGGAGAGAAAGACTAGAACTAGAGCTTAAAGTTCAAGACGTTGAAATCAATAACAAAAAATGGGAGAAATATCTGGGTCTTAGAATGGATACAAATTTAAAGTGGAACTTTCATATATCACACATAATTACCAAACTAAAATCACTGATAGGCAGATTTTGGTCAATATCAAAATGCATTCCGCAATCTGTACGTCATTTGATTTATAATTGTTTAGTCAAGCCACATTTCATATACCTAATTGAAATATGGGGTACAGCATGCAAAAACAAAATTTCTAAAATACAAACACTACAAAATAAAATTAATAAAAGCACTATTTAGATACAATTTTTAACACCTACTAATAAAATCTACCAAGAAACCCAAATTATGACGATTAAACAACTATATGTTTATAGCACCTGTATCCTTATTAAAAAAAAATTAAGTAACTCTCTACATAGTAACTTATCATTTAATAAAATCAAATACACCACTACACGCAATACTCGTCGAGCGAGTTTGCTTATCTTGCCAAAGCCGCGCACAAATTATTGAAAGAGATCTATTAGGTATGAGGGTGTGCAATTGTTTAATCGGTTGCCGTCTAAGGTTCGTAACATTAGCGTGATTAATCAGTTCAAAAGGGCATTAAAGATACACATCAGAATGAGCCCATTAGACTAAAATTGTGCTAGCTGATGGCGACGTGTATCTCGTTCGTATATAATATTAAATTTCTCATGTAAATAAAAAATAATTTTTGAAGTGAAACTTCTTTATCGGGGTTGGAAAAAAATTTAGTGTAACATTTTTGCGTTACGCGTCACATTTTTCCGTTAAAATATGCATGTATATGTTTTTGACTTTGAAGTTTGACAACGGATTACATTATCGAAGTCAAACTTCTTTATCGGCGTTAAAATATGACATAGTATGTTTTTGACTTTGAAGTTTGACAACGGATTACATTTTCGACTTGAAATTTGCTAATCGCAATTTGCAGCAGTTAATTTGTAAATTGTATGCTAGGCAGTGTATCACAATTTACTGTGTTTAAAGAAATAGTTTCAGACCTCTAAACTTAAAACAAACCAATTATGGCTCTGCGTACAACAAAGGTTTTATATAAGTTTCGCTTCTTACGTGTGTACACCTAGTACACGCACACATTTTTTGTAATAAGAAATAAAGTTCTTTAAACGTTAAACGTTAGAGTTAAACTATTGATGGTTTATTATAATCATGGTTTCCAGACCTAAATAAATGTATACTACTATCATAAGTGATTTTTAATAATCACACTATAATGAACAATTTATATCTATTTCTATTATAATATATATTTTTTAATGCTCCAGGCTCTTGTGAAATGTGAAAAACGCCGTCAAAAGGCTGCTGAAGTGTGGATGCGTGGCGCACACGCGGCCAGACAAGAGCTTGCTGCACAGAAGAGAGAAGAAAAGAGAAAGCAGGAAAAAGAGAAGATTCTTGCTGTGAGTTGAACTTGAACTTACACCCTTGGGATAGTCACTGTCATAAGGCATCATTTTCATGAATAAACTATACATGGGAGCGTTCAAGTATTACGTCACGCAATTTTTGGAGATTATTGAACCCCCCATGTAACGCGCCGTAACGTTTTTCTGTACCCAAGTATAGTAAAACGTTTCTTGACCATCTAGTGACTCTTTATACCTAAAAGTTACCATTATGTGGTGTAAAGTACTAAAAAGTCGATAATAATATTAACAAAAACGCGTAATTCAATCCCCGCCCCGCATCGTAACGTTTTGTAAAAGGATCCCCCCTCCAAATTCGTTACGTAACACTTGAAAGCTCCCTAATATAATGAAAGGATAAAATCATGATTGGCTTAGATCTTACAATTAAATAAATTCGAATTTAATTGAAGTCCATCGAAATTACTATTTGTATGTAATGAGCGATAATACATTGTTACAGGAGGACGACCCAGAAAAGCAGCGTCGTTGGGAGCTCAAAGAACAAAAACGTCAACAGAAACGTAAAGCTCCAAAAATGAAACAGCTTAAAGTGAAAGCAATGTAACTTTACCTTACCTCAAAGCAATTAAAATGCAATAATTATTTACACTAATTTTGTTAATTTATAAGTGTTAATTCATACTCAGTCAGAGCGAATAAATGATTTAATTACAACATATATTTTGTTTCAAATTATCAATGTAAGAAAGCTGTGTCTGTAGCTAGTACTATTTTTATTGCATAGCTCGAGAATCCCATATTAAGTTAATACATGTCAAATTGTTAAAAGTAGGCAACAAGATAAGAATACCGACAGAAAACTGCTTGTAGTCATGTCAAACTGTACATTTGCAATAGTAGTTCATACTGTAGTTATTATAAAATCAATTTTAAAATTGAAAATTAAATAAATGATAACTAAACAAATTACATACACTGGTGAGTCATGAAAAAACAATGGCATGTACACCTAAAGGCAATATTTATTTCAAATATTTTCAAAGAAACTAACAAAATGTTAACAACCATTAGTCGCACATCTAAGTGACATTTCTCACTAAATAAATAACACAATACTTTACATTTTGTGATGTGAGATCTCTTATGGCTAATTGCTACATGCATTATAACATAATAAATTATATGTTTTAAATGCTTTTATCAATATACAAAAATCATTGGTGCTTAGAAATTGCATATTTGAAACTTCACACAGATAGGCAAAGATTTTAAGTTGAATAACTTGAATAAAAAAGTTCATCAAGTTTTATTAAATTACATTAACAGATGACCGATTTATATATGTTATATGTATAAGGCATGTAGCTGTACCATTAATCTAACATTAAATCTTATTTATCTAAAACAATGATAATGTATGAAAAATAAAATGAAATAATATCATAATGCCTTTTGTTTTACAGAATGCTCCCCTGTAAAACTTATTCGGCTTGGCATTACCTTTTAATGTAGGATTTTAATATCATTTTTTGTTTTAAAATACAAAAATTGTGTTAATATGTTCATGCATAAATAAATTGTTTTATGATGAAAAATATATCTAAAATATTTTTATACAGATTAATAAACATTTGTATTTTACTTAACTACACTTAAAATAAACTGGGAAGCCTAATGAAGCGAAATTTTCATACAGAAATATTTTTCTACAATTTGAATGTAATATAAAAATGTATATATTGGATGACCAGCCATTTGAGAACAATTGTCCATGATTGTGACAGCATCGCCATGAAGAGCCACTGACTTTTAGTATAAAGAATATATCAAAGGGTTAGCAAATCATTAATTCAAGTTATTTCTAGTTAAGTTAAAATTAGGTTATAATCACACTCAGAATCTTTTATTTTTATCTAAATAGTGACCTACAAAAACTTAAGTAGACAATCGTAATTTGTAACAAAAAATACAACAAGCCTTAGGAACAAGTCTCATAAACACACTCATATCAAATGGTAAATGGACACATAAGTTACACATCTAATCTAAAGCTACCATACATCCAACCATACCACAAATATCAATGTCATTCATCAACTTGTAACTTCTGGATCCTTGTAGACATACAATCCATATCTGGTGATATTTCAGGCTTTGGGGGTGGGTCTATTATCAGATTGAGATTCTCAAGTGATTGACATCTTTTTGTACTTTTATCAAAGTTTTCTCTAGCACTACTAGTGGATGGCTCTAATATACTATATTTGAAGTCACAGCCATCATGTATATCACTACCGACAGCGTCAGAGTTCTCACTCTTCGTCCTATGTCGGACTGGTAAGACATAGGGACACATTCTACTTTTGTTAGCACTTCTTTTCATGCAATAGCCAACAGTGACGTTCGATACATATCGCGTATTTAAACGCATCACACTGAAATTCGATTTGGATTCTTTCAAATACTCACGGCGCGCCTCTGTTATAGCACTGAGCATTCCTAAATCGTGTAGAGCTTTATCCAAATTGTCCACATTCATGTGATTGCGAGGTCTCTGGAAATAACGCAGAATACGTACGAATGTAGTCTTATTATTTTTTGGCAACTGATTTTAGTAATAATAAATAATACGTACGCTTTTATCATTTTCGTTGCATTTCATTATGATTAGAGGAAATTTTATAAATATTATTGAAGATATAGATACCGTGTGAAAATAAACATCACAAAAAAGTCATAATAATCAATGACAACTAACATAAAACATTCATTGGTGATCCAAATGTAGAAAAGTCATAGAGTATGTTTTATGTCTAGCTAAGTATGAAAATTTTATGTTAAAGACCAAAACTATTATTAGAATTATGTGCGAAGCATATTCTTATTAATATTATATATATTTTAACTTTACTGCTCCAATTTGCTAATACTAAAAACAGAAGCATGGTATAATATTTATGCCCCAAATTGTTTATAAGTATAAAAAATATGTTGTTATTTGACAATAAATTGACATAGAAATTCTTATCTTACTAAATATTTAATTGCTAATTGTATTATATATTGATATGGCAGAGGTTCTAAAGGAGTGGCTAACACAACGTTTACAGCGGCCCATAAAGTGGGAGGCTGAAGAATTTGGCGATAAAATGAAAAATGGTCATATCATTGCTTGCGTCCTTCGAAGCTACTATGTCATTAATGATGACAAGTTATATTATATACGGGCGAGTGACTACATGGATGATATAAAAAATAACTGGAGGCTTCTGAGAGAATGGCTACAAGATATCGACTTGAGTTTAACGGACGCCGATGTAAGTAATATTATGGAAGGTAGAGGCTCCACGCTGCTACGTCTATTTTATCAACTGTTCCTACACTTGGATAAAAAGGATCGCACAGATTTCATAAGGCGAGAACGAAAGATGGTTTCACAGTTGGTAGAAAAAATTGATCATAGATTTAAAGTTGACAAAGTTGCTGAAGAGAAAGAACCATTTGTCGATGATTTGTCTAGACCACTATTGAATGAGAAATTATTTATAGAATGGCAAAGGAAAAAAGAAAAGGAAGCCAATGATACATACGAATTTATCAAACACAAGTACTCAAGAATGATACAAAGTATGAAAGACAAAGAGTTTTCGGCTCAACAAAAGTATGCACGACCAAAATCCATTTCAACAAAAGATAAAAAAGATATGGAAAAGTTTAGTCTCAGACATCCATGTAAATTTCAGAACTTAACGTATGAGCAGTTACTCGAATTAGACAATAGATACGTTGAAAGGAAGAAATCTCTCGTAGATACGGATTGGGCAAATAATTATATGGATAACTTACATACAAAAATTCACAAAAAATCTGATTCGGTAGAATTTCAAAAACAGTTAAGAAACGTCATTAGTAATTCTTTATGGGACATGTCAGTAGCTGAAGAGGAATCTAAATTAGATACACAATTTGCAAAGAAAGTGATGAAACTATCGCAGTTCGAAAAGCAAATGGGTACACAAATAATGGAAACGCGCCAACAAGCTCGAAACTTGGCGAAAAATAGAATAATTGGAGATTCAGAATTCGTTGAACAAAGAACAATGCAATTTAATCAGTTTCTTGATAACGTTAAAGAAGAAATTAATATGGGTTTGGTAGAAATAGATTTTGAAAAGCAGAGACAAAATATGCTCCATAAAAAGTTGTACGCCGAAAAAATTAAACGTAAAAGACAACATTACTATGAGATATGTTATGAAACCGTTTTATCTATTGTAGATTATGCTACCAAGTTTGCTTATTTTAGGCGATTACTTGAAGACGATATACCGGATCATTTTATACACCAATGGAAAGCGTTATATTATAAACGGCAGCCAATTTTTGATATTGTGGATCCAATGGAAGATATCCTTAATCAACCGTCGCTAGAAGAAGAGGTAATACCAGAAGAAGAAGAAATTGTTAGACTTGAACTTGATCGACAAGAGGCTTTAAATGATAGTGAATTTACACAATACCACAATTATTTACATCCTTGGACACTACATAACCTTATTCCAAACTATGAATCAGAATCTGAAGAAAAAAAGTACGAAGTTTTAGGAACACGTATACTTGGACATTTAGTATATACTTTGCTTGACATAAAATATCCATATCCCCCTCAAAGACCACCCGCAAACTTACCACAATTTTCTACTAAAGCTATCTTGTGTGGTGTTCCAGACAGATCAATCACACTTGCTATGCAGACCCTTCTTAACTCACGACGTATCCATGTTGTTAGACTAGAAGCCGCGATCAATTTTTGCCTGCGAAAATTTAAAACAGAAATGATTGGTTGCACAGATATCGACTTATCTTTTGATAAGTTTATTGCAGTGGCCCAAGAGGAAGAAAGTAAAGAGATAATTAAATTATTAAAAGCTGAAGATGATGTTGTAATGAAGAGTACTGAAGCAATAATGTCTGTTATCTCGGGACCTATACCTGCGAATGTTAAACAAACACAAACACCTAAAACAATACCAGAAGAAGAAATTACTCTCTCACTTGCAGCTGAGCTTGGGCAGTATACATACAATACCTTGTACTCAGGAGACTCGTTAACTGATTATTTGATTGCAGCAATGATAGTTGAATATATCAAGGATCAAGAAAATATCGACGGATTTGTTATTATAAACTATCCAAATACTTATCGTGAAACACAAATACTTGAAGAAACTTTTTCCGGCAATGCACCTCCCGATGAAGGAGAACTAGATGATAGAGATGAAATATATTTAGAAGAGAGTATAGTTAAACATCGTAAGGTAGAGACCGACACTTACAAAGAAATAAGAGTATCAAAATTGGTTAAAGATCCGCATAAAAAAAGAATGGTAAAACCATTTGAAAGCTATTTTACTTGTTATATGAAATTAAAAGAGACTGAAGATATTCTTCAAGAAGTTGTTGTGTGGGAATTGACAGAAGATAATTCTGAATTTATTGATAGATTTTATGCTGCGTTAGGTATTAATTATAGTATGTACTATGAAGTGATAGAAAAAGAGCAACTAGCTCTAATATGCAAGTATATTATCGGTGACTTAACACTTCCATTAAAATCCTATGAAAATTTGTTTGGTGAGAACGTTTTAAGCTCACTCGAGTTTCCCGCCTCGGATGACAAACGAACAAAATCAAAGATTGTAAAATCCGAAGTCTTGAATGAAAAATCTAAAGATAGAATGCGGCGCGGTTCCAAAATTAGTAAAACCTCTATTCCGAGTGAATTACAAGTTGTCAAAGCACCAGAATCAAAACTTAATATGGATGATGATAAAATAGTATCTCTTCAAAGTGTTCACGAAGAGAGTGAAATATTAACAAAGACTACTGTAAGTTTTGAAGAAATTAAAATCGCTGCTGGTGAGGAAGATTGGGTTTATGGCGAAATACCAATTGCAGAAGGTATAGGCATTGCCTTGGCAACGTGTTGGGAGGAGATAGAAAAGGTTTACATACACGATTTACTGCAATTATTTTTGGCAATTCGTCTTCAAATGAATTGTTTAGTGCCTTATATAAGGTTTATTAAAGATAAAATGCAACAAATAATAACCCTACCATCTGGAAAACAGGACTTGGTTTGTGCTTTTCAAAGAGAATACAATAATTTTGAAAATGATTGGCGCGACGTTAATTTGACGAAAAATGAATGGCATTGTAGAGTTAAAGAACTGCAAATTAAATTAAATCAAATATGTGATGAAAGAAAATTATTTGCTGAAAGGCAAAGACAGGCTCTTATATGTGAAAACTGGACATTGGAAGAGCTCACTACAATGGTGAACACTTACATATCATGTATGCAAACAGAAATAAATAGGTAAGTCCATAGTTATTGAGTAAAAGCTTATTATTAACCTGGCCTTATTGTGATTGTATGCTTAATTGTTCTCAGATCTATTTTAACGTTTCAATCGTTCCATGACTTTTACTACGCAATGTTAAAACGATTGCCTCCTACTGACCGTCTTACATCTAAAGAACTATCAAAGATAATGAGAGAAACAGATGAAACTTCAGGGAGCAAAAAAGGAGGAGAAGACAAAGTTTTTCGTCAGTTAAAAAATACATTTCAAGACTTGCAATTAAGAAATATTGAAATTGATTATAGCAATAATCCCTTTAACCTATTTATAGAAAATAACGTGAAATTCGCGTTAAAAGTGATAAAGGACACAAATGATTCATATAGATCTCTTATTAGTCGCGAATACAGTGAAATTGCTAAAATTATACCAGTTGCAAAAAAGAAAGAAGAAAATACTTCAACAGAGTCTATAAACGAAGAAGAAATTTTTAAACAAAATGCTCTTAGGTGTATTGATGAATGGACAATGGCAATCAACGGGGAAATGTTTAGAGCAAATTTACGCATTCTTGCGTTGCAATACAAGTGTTTTAGGGACATGAAATTATTCAATGACAATATTTATAAAGCTTTTACGGATGTACAAATGGATATAAATAATTATTACTTAAATGAAATTAAATCAGTCGATCGTTTATGTAAGTTCCTACAAATGGCAGTAGAAGCTGGAAAAAGAATCCCTGACAGATTAATTCTAGAAGATGATGTATTTATCATTGATCCGAATCTTTTACATTTCCCGCCCGAGGTATCTATTGGTGATGCTGAAAGATCTCCAAGAGATTTGAAGATTGAGACCCAATTTAAAATAACACAGCTAAGTAGATTACGAGGCATGTTTAAAATCGTTGCACCAAAAGGAATTGCTCTACAGCAAGCCTTTATATACGTTTTGCAAGATTTCATTATATTTGGAAAAGAGAGCTGTGAGGGACCCATGTTTCCTCAGACCTGGAGACATATCGACCCTGAGCAAGTACCAAAACTGGTATTTCTGATGTTTGGTGAGACCACGTATATTGATTGGAGAGATTTCCTCGTCTACTGTCTAAACATAGGATTTCCAAGCACAGATGAACTTTTAATTTTACGAAAAAAATTCCGTTGCGAAGACCATAATTCAACAGAATTAATTAAGAGAAATTATTTTGTTAGTCAGAGATTTTGGTTTGAATCAGATGATGACCAAAATGACAGTCGTACAAAGTTACGAAATAATCTAATAAAGCACTTTCTGTTTGAACTTTATGAGACCGATGAGGACGTGATGAACTATTCTGCTTTCCTGTTAGGAGTATCGAAAAATGCTAACCCTATCGAAGGGTTCGCCACAGCACTTTCTATGTCAGTGGGTAAAAGAATTTGTTACTCATTAGACGACTGTGAGGAAGTAATCTGTAAGCTAATAAGAGACAAAAAATATAAAGATGCATGTCTAGCGTGCGCTCTGAAGTGTACAACGCAATTTATGGAAACACTGGTAACAAATGTGGTCAATACGTGTGAAGGTACAACATTGATAGAGCTGGAGTATTCGCCTCCACCTAATGAAGACAAAAAAGGTAAAAAAGTTAAGGGGTCTGGGTCTAAAGCTAAGAAAATTGAAAGTACAATGAGTGCCCGCTTGCCTAAAACGCAGAAAAGCCAAGTAAAAATGGCACAATCGGCAACAGACGTAAAGACAACATTTATATGTAGGCCTTGTGAGGAAGAAGTTGAGGTTGTGGAGGAGAAACCGCCAGAAAAGGAAGAAGTTGTTGAAGAAGAAAAGGTTGAAATTCAACCAGATCCTAACTTGGTATACGCGGTTAGTCAAGAAGTTATATGGAACGTATTGAAGATATGTCTTCCATGGCACTTTAACTTGCTACCTGAGCAGAGGGTCACACCCTATATTGAACAGGTAAAAGTCGCTATGTCTCGGCTAGAAGTAGATACAGATAATAAAAGTATTTACATAGCAAAGTTAGTAAACGATCCGAATGTGTGTAAAATCCTGCACAAAACCCACAAATTCACTGCTTTTAATCTTGATGAAGTAATTCAAAAGATTATTGTCTAACAACAATTAATTTTTTTTACAAACAATCGCTTATACTATTTTTGAGTTTTAATTACTATTAGTTTCACTATAACAGAATATTAATTTTGGAAATGTTTTTTATTTTACTCACATGCCATTACTGGAGGTTGGCCTTGGAAAGAAAGCTACATTATCAGTTAACAGCAATGCAATTATTAAAGTAGTTGGGGCGTAAATAAGACAAATAAAGTCACATTTCTCATAAAATAAACCATTTTTTTTTTTTTTAACTTTTTGGCAACAGCTTCAACTTTGCAACTTGCCAGTTTCAAGATAATATATGGGTGGTAAATTAATAAGCTTATAACATGTCTCCTAAGCCTTTCATTATGAAACAATTATTATTTCGCCAGGTACCAACCCTATTGTCATCGGATCAAATGCACTATTCTATACCGTCTATGAAGTTAGTAATAACCGTATAACGTATTGTTATTCAATTAACAACGAAAATTAACCAACACGCAAATTCTTAATTACTGTATAAACAAGACTAAGTAGGTTACAAATTACAGTAATTACCGCTATTGTAATAAGCTACGGATAAAATCCGTAGCATTGTTTTGAGTCTATTTAAGATTTGTATAATCATTGTTGCGGTAATTGTTTTAAGTAAAAGGAAGGGCTAAACTTATTATTATTGCAATATATATAAAAACTAGCGGACGAATATTTCAAGCGATTAGGATATTAAACAAAGTGTGAAAACGCATGCACCGCCATCTGCCGGGCTGAATTGTGAATCTAAACCCTCCAGTGCGCCAAACGCATACAAAAAATTCATTTAAATCGGTCCAGCCGTTTAAGAGGAGTTCAATGACATACACACGTACAGTAGAATTATATATAAAAAGATAGAATAACTTCGAAACAGTGGAAGAAAATAAACGTATTTACGATCAAATAAAAAGAATCTACCGTCACTTGTATTTAATGTAAATAATTATTTTTTATTTGGAACATTGTTACGTTATTGATGTATTTCAGTTGTTTTACATATAAGTAAAACAGGTTGTTGCATGGTAACAACTAATAATTTAATGGAGAAAAATAATAAAAGGACAGTTGACATTCCCACTTTAATTTACCTAATTAATAATTATCGACTGATGCCTCTATGAACTATTTTGATATTCTTTCCAAATTTTGTGCTATGCGGATAGCATCCCTTTCGCAGTGTCTCACACAGGCCACGTGTGCTTACGTAAAGGCCATCTTAGGACGGACAATTCCTATAACCCTTACTTTAAAGCAACAAACAACAGCTAAAAGTTAATTGCAACATCAGTTTGTTAAATATAATAAGTACCTCCCTCAACTGTTTTTAGTATCACTATAGACAAAAAACCAAAAGGTTTTATAGCTGAGGTAAGTACAAAATGTGGATGCTCATCAACTTTCTGCAGTCGGCCTTTATCTAAAATGCTTCTAGGCCTTCCGAATGCTATGCTAAATTCATGACAATGAATTTGGCTAATAATTAGGCCTCTCAGTGGCGTAACTATACCATCTGGGGCCCGTGGTAAATCTTCTTTCGTGGCAATTCTTTTGATAGGGCCCTATCAGTAAAAATCATCCCTACTCAGTTTAATTTTAATAAACTTCGAGATTTTCAGCGTACCTACTCAATTACACATTGTATATGTCCCACTAATGGCCATAAGCCTCCTCTCTTAGGCGAGAGGGATTGGTCTGTAATCCCCACGCTAGCCCATTGCGTAATGGAGACTTCACGTTCATCCATAGAACATAATATCTCTCCGTCAGGGGCCCTCTTGGGTCGGGGGCCCGTGGCATTTTGCCAGCCCTGTCACCCTATTGTTACGCCACTGAGGCCTCTGTCATTAGATGCGCATAAATCGTAATTATGTGATTTATAACTAAATTTGCGTGAACTTGCACGGACTACGGAAAACCTAGCCATGTTAAATGCCGAGAGTGAGTAACAGATAAAATCGCGTTACGAAACTAGAAAATCGTTATGTTACGAAGGGATATCCATTTGTTTACAGGATGTAGATGTATAAACAATAACATTCATGTAGAAATTGCTTTCGAGATGGATTAATAATGTTTTACTTGCCTGTGCGAAAGGTTCTGAAGTGTTTAATAAAAAAGAGAAATTTGGCTAGTAAGTATATAAATATAGTACAATGATTTTTATATTTTAATTTAATTTTGTGAAGCACTTTATTATTGTTGTTATAGTCTGTGTCTAGATAATTTATTTATTTAACTAGATAAAAAAAAATAATACCAAACACAACTCAATGGGCATATTATTGACATCAAGAATACACAAGTATGCGCATTTTCCGCTAAAAACACTCCTCTCTTTGGAATCGACGACAACCAGTCACATTCGGTCTTGATCGGTCTCTATCTTCTACCGCATTTATTATGGTTCAGCGGTGTTGTTCCGATTAATATCTAGCTGAGTTTCATTATCGGACATCAAGGCATACGAAATTCCACCCATTTCACCTCGACGTCCGTCGTTCCACAACTGAGCGTTTTTTTAAGGCACTTTTTTCCGTTCACCAACACTTTCTGGAACCAGTTGCCACGCCCTTGCCTTCTGACAATGTGGGTGTCCATGGGGGATGGTATCTCTTAAATTCGTTTTATAAAAAAAATATATAAGCTTTGATGCACTGGCGCCGATTTTTTTAAAATAAACCGTACATATTGTAATTTTACCAAAATGGTTAAATAAAAAATCCTTTTTTTTATAGTTAAATAGTATGTATTTCCATATTTTCTTTCATTTGACCTTCAGCGATTTCAAGAGATTGTCAAAGGACGAAGTCACCAAAAGAGAAGTTGATGTGATAAGGCTATCGAAACATATTTTTAAAAATGCACGTCTGATTTGAAACTTGCTTCATTTGAAGTCGATTAAAAAGTCTTTTACCCCATCATGTCAAACACATTTCTGCATTGTTGTTACGCATCATTTTTCATAGTACGTAAGGCAGTCTGTCCCCGTAACATAATTTCGTTTGGAAATATATTACTTTTTAAAAGATTCCCTTGTCAATGTTGGTCTTATATGTGCTACATATCCATTGCACCCCCTTTGCCCCCTCATAAGCAATACCTGCACCCGTCTGACGCAACAGCATTATAAAAGGAAGCGGACAACAGATCTCGACAGCCCCTTCCTGACAAAAAAGGCCCGGAGGAGGCCCCGACATGTACTAACGGATCCGGATGATGTAATCACCGTATCAACAACAAATTAAAAGCCGCCCGCGCGCAAATAATAATAGTCAAAAACAGATTAGGACCTTTACTACGCACTTCGCTCACTCCAGTGAGCTTCCGTCTTGCCTTTCATGCGATTGAACACCCAGCGACGGCCCAAGCCGAGGTCCGAGTCTCACAGGAAACACCCTTGCGCTAGTCGCGGGAAAACGCCCATTCAGGCCGAGGTCATCTGTAAAGGCTCTTAAGGCCAACAGCGAGGTTCCATTAAAAAAAAACATCGACAGCTTTGATCGGATACCTAGGCCCGGTCAAATCCTAAATCCTCCTACTAAGGAGGATTTAGGATTTTAAATAATCTATATTTTAAACTTATCACTAGATAAGTTTAAAATATAGATTATTAAACGTGCACCTCATATCGGGCCGATTAAATTGTACTATTTAATTAAGATCAATAATAATTATAATAGTGTGATTAAAGTAATTTAAATATATTTTGTTTTTTTTTGGAATTCACCGCTGGCCCTCACTTAATTTGTGTTAATATTTTGCATGTTGAATAAAAATAAACACTTTATTTACATACTTTTTTATCAATGAACGAGTTTATTACTTATTACTTTCAGGACAAGAGCGACATGCAGCGAGTCTTACAGAATGTCTTATAAAAGAATCAAGTCAGCAGGAAAAATGGAATTACAAATATCACATCATTATCATAATAGTGATACTACTAATATTGTCTTTGAAGATATTTCAACAATACCAATATGAGATGTTAATGGAGGACGGTGGGTTTCATTATATCTTACTAATTCGACTCCCTGAGGTCGTTAGTTCGATCGGCAGACCAATGGACTTTATACGCTCGAACACTCGCTCGAACGGTAAAGGAAAACATCGTGAGGAAACCGACATGTCTTAAACCCAAAAAGTCGACGGCGTGTGTCAGGCACTGGAGGCAAACCTTTTTTTAAATAAATGAATTGTACTAATATTGTAGAAAATTAAGGCAGCATAATATTAGCCATAATTATCATATAGGCTAGTTCAGTGTTTCCCAACGTGGGGCCTACGCCCCACAAGGGGGCAATTTGATTGTTAAGGGGGTTATTCCAAAATTTATTAAAATTATTTGGAATTTGAATTTCAACTTTACATTATGTTTTGAAAAATTACTCGTTTCGTTTCGTTAAAATTCCTTGTGATTTCTTCCTAAAACATACCATTTAAGTTCCTTAAGCGAACAAATAAATTTTTAAATATTATAAATTAAGTGTGTTACATAGGGGCATAAGAATTTTAGAAAGACTAAAGTGGGTTTGGCGGAAAAAGCGTTGGGAAACACTGCTTTAGGCTCTTGGGGCAGAGTAAGATTAAATCACGTTTATTTATTAAGACGGGTTATTGCGGTGGAAACTGTACTTAGATCTTAGATAAATTATGACAGATTTGGGTTGGAAGGCACTGAAGTTTGAACCCAAAAAATTATTAAAGTTGGGCACTATATTTGCCTCATTCCCCACCTCACGTGAAGTGTTAAGGCAACATAGGTCTTCGCTGCTAATCAATGTCAAGAAACTACGATAAACTAATTGAATACAATATTTGTTTGAGCGACGCACTAGGATTAATAGTGTTTAAAAATATTTTGGTATTTCCTATTTTTCAGGTGAACCATTTGATTATAACGAAACACTTTCAATGTGCGCTATAAATACCACTTTCGGTAAGTAATATTTTTTTTATAGGTTGGCAAGACTTTTGTGTATAATGTAGTAAGACATAAGACATACAAATTCGACCCCTCTAACGATTTGCCATGTCTATTTAATAACTAATGTTTTACAGTCTTTATTTGTATCATATTTATATGAAATGTTTAATAATAATTTACAAATAATTACAGCGTTTTAAATTTGTTTTTTTTTTTGTTCAAGAGAGGTCTATACATTTACATATTTTGGTAGGAATGTTTATATTCTTTAAGTCTATTTGATTATAAAGGATTTTAGATGATGGGGTTGTATTCTGTCGTGAATATTTATTGCTACCATACTAAGTCCAATTAAAACTACAATGATTAAAAAAAAATCGATCAATTTGTTATTTAAATAAAAAAATTTGTTCGGATATATCCTAGAATCCATTATATTACTAACATAACTAAATGTTTCCAGTATTTGAGGTCATATTAGGGCCGCGCCGACCCCCGGCAGAGCCTGCAAGCCTACGAAGTGCCTTTTCTTTACGAATATTCATGTTTCAACGTATTTTTTTATTAGTTGTTAATTTTGACGGAATAAAAGGTTTTCCAGTTCCATATATTATCATCATATGGCGGCATCATCTTAAATTAAAGATAAACAATGTAAAATTAAACCACAAACATGAATATCATGTAAGGAGACGTGTAAATAAACGAAATATATCTAATATATAAAATTCTCGTGTCACAGTTTTCGTTGCCATACTCCTCCAAAACGGCTCGACCGATTCTCATGAAATTTTGTGTGCATATTGGGTATGTCTGAGAATCGGACATCATCTATTTTTCATCCCCCTAAATGTTAAGGGTAGTCCACCCCCAAATATATTTTTTTTATTTTTAGATATTTTTTTCTGTTTTTATTTTTTTATGATACAGCATTAAAAAATACATACAAACCCCTAACTTTCACCCCTCTACGATCAACCCCTATTTTTTTATTATAAATGATATATATGGTAAAACGACGTTTGCCCGGTCAGCTAGTGTTTTGTTATATAAATTTGTTGATACATATTACTTACTCATCGCTACTCCACTACAAAGAATATGTTATTGTGTAAATTATTTCGGTGGCGGCGCCCTTATTGTCTTGGCGCGTGTGTTCACAGGGGCGGCACGGGCTTGGTTACCAAAGACAAGACGCGAACGAAGTTTAATTTAAATCTGGCATTAACCATAGACAATTTAATTTTAGGTAAAACTCCAATAAACAGGCTGATTACGAAAAATGTACTTGAACGTCTATATCCAACAGTACTTAAAGGAGGGTATTATAGGCCTAGGGATTGTCAGCCTAGGCATAAGGTAGCCATTTTAGTGCCTTACAGGTAACATTTTGAAATGTCCTTAGTGGTTATGAACTGGTAACTTTTTTTTTCTGGCAACACTAACAAATGTAGATATTATGTAAACGGAGAATTGGTTTCAAACAAACTTTGTATCTGTATCGTTCGTAAATGGTTTTTTTGGCAAAGAAAATTGAATTCGTTGAACAGCGATGGAGAGTGTATTTGGAACTAAACGGATGCGTGTCATTCAATACGTACATCTTCCGAATATAATTAATTAAATATACAAAGTATGTGTAAAATGGATACAATCGACCTCTAAACTGATGTCGACAAAAAAACCTATGGCGCAACAATCCTTGGTCTTGACCTCAGATTTCGGTATCTGTTTCGTGAACTTTTTTTATCTGAATAATCAAGTAGATGATCAACCTTCTACGGCTGATGCATGTCAACTTTTTGGCTAAGGTATGCCGGTTTCTTCACGATGTTTTCCTTCACCTTACAAGCGAGTGATGCGTGAACCAAGCTAGGGCTCGTATCTACGACAACGGGGCGGATGGGGGGTCATGGGGGTCATGGGGGTCACCCCTCCTGAAGGAGAGGACTTAGGTGGACCACTAATTGATCATAATGTTTTTATCTATAAATTTGTGTCACCATACAGATTATATGTAACTACATACCTTCAATATTTAATTAATTTAATATAATATAATAACTTTGTATGATGTTGAAAATTTGAAATTTTGAATTTTCCGGCGCCCCACTTGCGCGCCCTTGTCGCTATGAAACGTCTAGCTAGACCTTACCTCAATCGGAATCGGAACGACTAAATTTCAACATATCATAACATAGTCTTATTTTAAATGTGACATCAAATGTATACTAATATAGGAAAATTGGATACACTACCCTGAAACACACACCACCCACCCAACGAAGGAAGGGGGGGCTCTCCGCGGGGGGGAATTTTTTTTAGGAGTTTTTCTCGGGTGGGGGGCCCCCCCCCCCCCCCCCCCCCCCCCCCCCCCCCCCCGGCCCTTTTCCCCTTTGCCCGTTTGGGTGAATTTTTTTTTTAAGAAATTTTATAAAAAATTTTTTTATTTTTTTTTTTTTTTTTTTTTTTTTTTTTTTTTTTTTTTTTTTTTTTTTTTTTTTTTCTTTTTTTCTCTTTTTCTCCTCCCCCCCCTCTTTTTCTCCTTTTCCCCCCCCCCCCCCCCCCCCTTTTTTTAAATACCTTCCCCCTCCTTTTTTGTTTGTCACCCCCCCCCCCCCCCCCCCCCCCCCGGCGCCCCCCCCCCCCCCCCCCCCCCCCCCCCCCCCCCGCCGCCCCCCCCCCCCCCCCCCCCCACCCCCCCCCCCCCCATTTTTTTTTTTTTTTTTTTTTTTTTTTTTTTTTTTTTTTTATGTGTTTTTTTTTTTAGTTACTTTTTCCCTTTTTTTTTTTTTTTTTTTTTTTTTTTTTTTTTTTTTTCCCCCCCCCCCCTCTTTTTTTCCCTTTTTTTTTTTTTTTTTTTTTTTTTTTTTTTTTTTTTTTTTTTTTTTTTTTTTTTTTTTTTTTTTTTTTTTTTTTTTTTATTTTTTTTTTTTTTTTTTTTTTTTTTTTTTTTTTTTTTTTTTTTTTTTTTTATAAAAATAAACTAAAACAAAAAACCCACCCCCCCATTTTTTTTTAAAAATAAAAAAAATAATTATATTTTTTTATTTTTTTTTTTTTTTTTTTTTCCCCCCCCCCCCCCCCCCCCCAAAAAAAAAAAAAAAAAAAATTTCCTTTCCCCCTCCCCTTAATAATACCCCCCCCCCCCCCCCCCCCCCCCCCCCCAAAAAAAAATTTTTTTTTTTTTTTTCCCCCCCGGGGGGAAAAAAAAAAAAAAAAATTTTCCCCCTCTTTTGAAACCCCCCTTTTTTTAAAATTTTTTTTTTTTTTTTTTTTTAAAGAAAAAAAAAAAAAAAATTTTTTTTTTTTCCAAATCCCCCCCAAAAAAAAAAAAACCCCTTTTTTTTTTTTTTTTTTTTTTAAAAAAAAAAAAAAATAATTTTTTTTTTTCTCCACCCCTTTTTGTCCCCCCCCCGGCCCCAAAGCTGAATCCGCCCTTGATCTACGACCAATTTATTTATTTATTTATTAAAGTTTACCACATCATATATAGTACTAAATCTACTGTATATGTTACAAACTCTTTTATCTAAAATGTATGATATGACAATTTAGGTAAATATAAATGTTACGAAAAAAATAAAATATGTACAAGATAAAATTAAAATACCAGAAATTTTTGTTAAGCACAAAAAAAATACCAGCAAAACAGCGAATTAGGTTCGAGATAGGCACTTAACAATGCTTTCTCTAAAACCGATCAGCCCACAATCGAATATTTCCAGCCTTACGATTCTGTAACTCACTTTTCGAACTCACCCAGCGGTTTTCTGATAAACAATAAACTACACTACTCCCTCCTTATTGAATGCCAAATTGTAAAATGACAAGCGCTGTGAAAACCGCTGTGTGAGTTTGAAAAGTGAGTTACAGAATCGCAAGGCAGCTCCGGATGAGTACTGTTTAATCCGCTAAAATCGCAAAGAATTCGAAGGAGAGAGATGCCTGAACTCCTATGTTGGTTTTTGCAGAAGACCAATGAATACATTATAAGAATAATTATTGAAGCTGTACGTTAGTAAACCGTTGTTGTTATAATTATTTCTCATTATAGATTCTTGTTAAAATTAATGACATCTTGTTACAGAGATCGCGCTCTTCATCTACGGATATTTTTATATAATATGCACCCGTTTTTAATGAAACAAAAGCTGGAATACAGAATATTTGTTTTAGAACAAGCAGGTCAGTAGTATAATATTATTTTTACCACGCTCACTTCGATGGCTTTGCGATCCGAAATGTTTTGTCCTGGACTCCGAAGCGAGAAACTCCCAGTTCTCCCTGTTCTATCCGCCAATTGCTGGCTCACTTGTAGCAGGTCCTCTTCCTCTCTATCGATCCAGTTGTACCTGAGCCACCTTAGTCGTCAGAGTCCAGCGTAGTTATCCTGCACTGCCCGATCGTGACTCAAACGCTCAAGGTAGCCAATGTCGATGATGGATTATTTAATATTAGTTTTCATTATTTTAAATCAAAATATATTAAACTAGTTAATGTTAACCACATTTTACTCTCATTAAAATAGTATCTAAAAAGGGTTTTACGAAAAATTGGTTTAAATTTAGAAATCAATATTTGTCTATACTGTACTGTTTAATATTTAGTTTGTTTCAATGAACGCGTCATTTTAGGAACTAGTAGTTCGAATTGGCAAAGGCTTATTGCTCTTCGTCAGATCTGAAGGATGGATCCTTGACTAGTCTAATCACTGACTGGTCTCAAGACCTCAGTGGCTATAGCTTAGAAGTTCTATAAACGCTTAGCGGTCGGAAAAACTCAAACTCAGAATAACTTAATTCAAATAGGTAAACAAGTACACTAATTATGAACGTCAACGAATATGAAAAGATATTAAATTGATTCTAAATTTATATTTACTACTAGTTCGCAAGTCAGTGTTAGTGCGAAGGATGTGACGTGGATAAAAGCAATACTTTTTCAGGATTAGACATATTCAACAGAGGGCGACTCTTTAATGCTGGCTTCAAAGAAGTCATGAAGTTAGGGAAATGGCAATGCGTAATTTTCCATGATGTTGACCTGTTACCTCTAGATGATAGGATCCTCTATACGTGCCCTATATGGCCGAGGAACATGTGCGGTACCATAGTAGAAGAGAAAGAGTGAGTATGTTTTGTTTTATACAGAACATCGTAGTGTCAGCAAGAGTTCGTCATTTATTTATTTATTCACACTTCGTTACATTTCTACAAAACTAATAACATAATACATAAAAATTATAAGGGATGCAACAGGCGGATTCTCTCACAAGCGATCTCTTCCAGGCAACAACAAAAAATACTAAAAAAATGTAGATAAAGTGCAAGAAGCTCATAACCAAATCTTATAAAAAACATTAATCTAAAATAGAACAAAAAAGAGATTAATAAAACAAACTAAAAAGCTAATCTCACGGATTCATGAATTGCGATGATGAATTACAAAAGCCACGATTGAGCAGGATAGGATGTGGTTAAAAATATGTATGCAGGGGAGTTTTAAAAAGATGTTAGGGAGGTAGCCAATCGTATGGAGAGTTTTAATAAACCTATACATTATTCAAGAACAGGCAATTGGAATGCCAAATCATAAATGACTGCTTGAGGATTTTCAGAGCGACCCCGATGCCGAAATCCGCTGTTGTCATATTACAGAATTGCGGCTGACTTGGTTGGATTTCAAAATTTACTATCACTAGGCTCTGACAATGAAAATGTTTGTCTCTATACTGACTTTCAAAAGGCGTTTTACAAAGTTAACCATCAGGTGCTTATTAGGAAACTCTTATATTGTGGTATACATAGAAGCTTGTTGCGATGGGTTACCCCCTACGTTAAAAATCTGACTCAGTGCAAGTATGGCACTCTAAAGCTTAAATAAGAATTTAGGTGTCTTCAGGTGTGCTCCAAGGATTGCACCTAAGTCCTATAGTATTTGCATTTGCAAACTTGAATTGGTTCATAAAATAGCTTTAAAACAGAAAGATGACTCATTTCCTGGTTGACGCCTTGAATATTACTAAAATAAGCGTCGGTCCCCATACCCCATTACGGGGTCTATATCAAGCATATCAGTAGATTAAACTTTAATACATTTTTTGTGCTTCAGCCCAACATTCCGTACATTGTATGGTGGCGTATCTGCTATGGACGTCAAACATTTTTCCAAAGTTAACGGTTACTCCAATTCGTATTGGGGCTGGGGTGGTGAAGATGATGATATTTATAAAAGGTAGGAAATATTTAATATGTAAATAATTTTTAAAATGTTTTTTTTGGCTAATTCCCCGACTATATTTTTGTGGGTGATGCTGTGTTGACATACTGGCTTCAGACTGCGATTCTCAAACCTGAGGTCATGGCTAATGCAACCCAGGAGAAAATTAAAAAAACGTGAGGCACTCGGGGACTGCCGCGGTAAAGCTATTGCATAGCATTTTTATCAACTTATGCAATTATAATTATTTATTTATATTTTATTTATGCAGTATATTTTTTTCTTTGATATTAATTTAAGTTTTTTCTTTAATATTAATTCAATCTACCACTCTACCACTCTACCAGACTCAGACTAACACGCCTACACGTCTCACTCAAACGAGTACCGGCTGCACCGGCCGCGCTTACGCTACGTCACCGATCTCGTCAGACCGATGTGAGACGCAGTATGCGTTCTGTCCCATTCTAATGCGTATTAGCTGCACCTATATTACGTCGTCGTGTGTTAGGTTTATTTTCGTTGCGGAATTTCTTGATTCGTTCGCCGCGCTCAAAGCCCGCGATAAAATCTATGCAATAGCTTAAAAATGTAAACTAGGCGCATTAAACAAAACGCCAGCTGCGCTCCAAGCGTTGTGACTGGGACGTTGTGTTATCTCTGTATATGTTTCGTGATCTTTTCTCTAATAGACAAGTGCTTATCAGCCTCCAATATTTGACACACTCTGCCGCCGGGAGTAAATTACACTGGTTTTTGCATATGTCAATAATAGAAAGAAAAGAGCATTGACGCCCGCCATTCGAACACACGGTCACTGCTCGGTGCTCCACTCTTCCCAAGCGGGTTAAACGAGAACAAATTAGAGATGTTAAATAAATTTTAGAGGAATTTTAATTTATCAATAATAATAGGTTGCATGAGGCTGGTATTCCCGTAACGAAATACGATAAGCAAATCGCGCTTTATACATCGCTACGACATGTGAAGCAAGCGCCAAACAAAAACAGGTATATATATATTATTTATTACGTTCTTGTTAAGCTCATGGCAGAGTCGTCAAGGGACTCGCTACTGTCAAAAGACTAGTGCACTTTAATGTCTATTGATTATATGAAGCCCAGTCAGACATTAATTGTGAAATCAAAATATAGTTTATTCATGTAGGTTTTTTATATAACAGGGGGCAAACGGACAGTAGGCTCACCTAATGTTAAGTGATACCGCCCGCCCATGAATACATACATATATTGCCAGATGGCTCGCAAGTGCGTTTCGGCCTTTTAAGAATTGCTAAAACTAAAACAAAGTTTAGGTAACTTAATGTACACTTATGGACGTCACTAAAGAAATATGATTGTAAATTAAAAGTTTTTTTACAAAATGTTTGTACAAAATGTGTCATGTATATCCACGCAGTAGTGTCTAATAGCGCCAAAATGATATGTAATATCAGCTCGGAAGACTGCCGCTGTACACTCCAATAGCGATAGCAATACCGATACCGACGTCTTTGTATCCAATTCCATGCAGATATTACAATTCCTCTGTCGTTGAAGGGTTTATGATCGAGCGGTACAAAAACCTAACATTGAAATCGGAATGGTAATGGCTATCGCTATTGGAAGTTCTGGTATCTGGGTTTAGTTATCGTCAAAATAATATTTTATTCCATATTTATATTGGTATAGTATTTGTTGGTTAAACATTCCACTCAGGATTCATTCTATTACAAGTATATAAAGTTATCAATAATAAATATTATCTGTGCCCCTTGGACACGCCTTCTATCGATATCTCTAAATAATTGTACTGGCTTATCTTCAATACCTACGATGCTAATATATAGATAACTATTGGTAGATAACTTATAATACCTATAAGTGTTATCTATAAAATTCCAAGCTTATCAATTCTATGTGCTTATAACATCTGTAATATAAAAACGAATTTTATTTAATCTATGTCTTAATATATAAGGTAAATCAATCGAAACCGCTTCATTTAATTAAAAAAATATTATTTTAAAGTAGTATAGAACATTAATTCTACTATTTAAAAAGAAATTATTCTTATAGTTTGCAGCATAAATATGAAATGAAATAAATATCGAACGCATCTGTGTTTAATATAGTTTCGTAGGTAACCAGTGTTGCCCACTCGGAGGTACGCGCATTACAAATGTGCACTGACAGATGAAAATAAGCGTTAGATTTGTTAGTATTTCCATCAGCGTTTTGGTTTAAAAACAAAGAAGCGCAAGAGTTGGTGCTATTCGCTGATTTAAATTTTTGATTGCTGATGAATCCAAAGTTCTGCCATCTGGCGGCGAAAGCATTGAGTGTCCAAGGCGCCATTAAATTAATTTATACTTTTACAGATACAAACTTTTGAGAACAGCTCTAAAAAGATCTAAAAAGGACGGAGTATCTTCGTTGAAATTCAAAGTCATTTCAGTCACCCTTTTACATCTGTATACCCATATAGTAATCGATATAAATCCAAACAAAGAAATTGTACAGGAAATATATTTTAAATGAAAGGTCAATGAACAGAAGATTTTGAAAATTAGGTAAGGAGACAAGACTGCGGTTAAACTAACTTATTGTTTAGTATAACTATAATTACACCGACTGTTTTATTATTAAACTGTCATGATTTTTATTTAAGAATATCAAACAATGCTATGTTTTTTCTAACATCGGGTAAATTTGGTAATTTAGACCTGAAACGGAACGTACAGGCGCAGTAATTTATCAAAGCGCCGATGTGTTGCCCATTTATTAAAGTCCCAGGAAATAAAGAGCAAAATAGTGGGAACATTAATGTTAGTATAATATTTCATATTGTTCAGAACTTCATTAGTCATATAGCTGATAAATAGGTACAAGCATACAAAGTCCGAAAATATTGATCCAACATTACAAGAATAACTGTTGTCTTCTCTACATTGCTCAAAACAATTACGTAATTTTCTCGTATTTGCTTCTAATGAAGATTTTAGTTTGTGAAATCGTTGCCTATATTTATTTTAAAATTGAAAATCAACTGTAGCAACATTTATATCTGCAGTGGTGCATGACAGCTTGAACTTTGACAGATTGACAAAGCCAAGAAACGTAAAACGTCAGTTTAGTACTGCAGCTTGCGCTGGCTGACCGATGAGTGCGTTTCCGTTATCGTTTATAATTCCGCACTTTCACCGTATTTCCATTATTTATTAATTTTATAAATATTCGGGTCTATTTAGTTCAGTGTAAATTAAAATAATTAATACTCAAAACTGTGTGTTTACGAAGTGGGCATAACATAATTCTTTTTTACTGAACTGTCTGGTTTTTAAGTGCAAATTTTCACCCTTTTTTGGCACAAGATATTTGAAAGCCAATATCGAAGAATTATAAAGGTCAGTATGAAAGATTTATACCTCATACTTAAAGTAAACATCGAATATATCGCCGCTCAGGGTATAATCTAATTTTAGATTGTTTCCAGTGAGGGATAAGTATGTAAATAAATTATTTTCAATGTCATTTAAGAACATATTATGTTTGGCAAAGAGATATTTTTTAATTATAAGAAATTAAATGCGTACCTTATTAAAGCCTAGTTCGAATGTCAACTTTAGAAAAATTATATTTTCCACCCATAAAAATTACTTTCACTAAAACTTAACTTTTTTATATGAAATCTAGTGCAAACATAACTTAATTTATATTTAAAATTTCTACTTTTCCTTTTTTTTAAACACTGAAATGGATGTTCTTCAATTCCATATTTATTCTTAATGTAAGAAAAGAAATGAAATGAATTTTAATAATTATTATCTTCTCCGTTATATATTAAAAGATAAGTTGCTTAGTGCACCCACCTAAGATACTCAACAGGCTAGACTCAATAGTCCTAAGACTAACTGTTAAGTATCCGCTACCGGTGATACAGGTCAAACTCATGTTTTTTACTGGTTATTTTTAAATAGGACAGACCCAATTCCTTTTAAGAAATATTTTTTATCAATGTGATTTCACTGACCCATGTTAATGATCTACTGTGAAGGATTTACTGATACGAAATTGCTGAATTATTCCATACACCTATAATGAATTTGATTTGATAGATAAAAAATCTTAGGTCACAAAGGAAAGCTACTGATAGGCTATTTATAAATATTCTGGCGACACAAAGAGATATTTATAGTTAGCAATACTACATATTGAAATGACCTTAACTGTATATCTTGATTTGTACCTCTGAGGAAGTGACCTATTGAGTTAAAAGTGGTCACCTAGTGCATTTATATATGATACTATAATTCTACGAGGACTTTTTAAATTTCCTTCAACATACTAACTCCTTTCTTGATTAAAAATTAACCAATAAAATAAAGTTTAAAACATACCATTGCTTACCTTAAAATTTTTAGACGGATTTTTTTCTAAAAAGGGTAATTTTTATTTTTTATAAAGCAATAATATTTATGCTTGCAAGAACGCTCATATCATTGTTTTAAAGTTAAACCTCAATGGGATGGTAGATAAATTTTGTATTTATATTTTTATTAGAAAGCTTTAACAGAAATCTCTGCATCGGCTCTTTACCTCTCGACACTCATAATTTTGAGCATCACTTAAAATTTATCAAGCTGTCTTTTACCTAAACTAAATATACAAGGTTTGTTTACTATTCATTGAGAATATGTCCCATCTTATATTTTTATCTTTAATTGCTATCTAATCTTCCTAATACCTTAATTACATGTTTATTTAACTCATTTTATAAATTATTTTCTAAAAATGTTTCAGAGATCCCTTCCTAAGAAGACCCCTTCCTATTTCCCAATGCTTGGATAATGGCGGGCTTTAAACAAAAATTATTAGTAATCATATCATTCATATTTGCTTGTATCATTACATATAGTTTATACTTAAACATTTTCGAGAATTATACGATAAAAAAGTTAAATTTACCAGGTTATATTTTGATCATCTGAAACGCGTTTTGTTGTTTGAACTTTTTCTACTTGATTTTCGCTTTTCGACGCACTTCAAAGAATGAGGCAGGCAGTCGTCCGGAAAATTAGGCGCCGATTTTTTACCGGGTTGTGTATTTCCAAGATTTTCTATATTCTGTTGAATTTTACGTAATATATTTTAAATTTTATGAAATATATTGTATAACTTGTAATTGAAAATAAATAATTGTGAATGGTGCTTTGTGTTGTCAATTATATTCTTGCTAGGATTTTTTTTAAATATTTCTATTGTAAACTGACCTTGTTACTGATTGCGTCGTTAAGTACGTCTCACGCTAAGTATTTATTAGACAGATGAATTTGTTTACGAATTTAAAAGATATTAAAACAAATATAAATACAAAAGTGTTGATTGACTTTTTTAACCCACTTTACGCTTTAAACGGAGAATTCACATACAGATTATCGGCGTAACCATTTATTTTCGCCATTTAACACATTAAAAAGTCTTTAATGAAAATTTAAGTCATTTTACCTGTTCGAATCTAGGTCTAGTTCTAGTCTAGAGTTAAGATAGTTGAGCCTTGTCCCGTTCAGCGACGCTAATCAAATGTATGTGGACTAAATAATTTAAATTAGTTCGACACGAATGCGAAAATTATTTAAGTTCATATTATGTTAACCTTGGTTCTACAATTTACAGTTGACACTATCTAATAAACATTGTGTAATGTGTTATCTAATACATACTTAGAATAGTCGTATTGTAAATATTTTGAGTGGGTCTTAAAAGATTCGACTTTATTATAGTGACTGTCTCAGACTCATTTATTCACTCTTACCATAAACATAAGTACAATCAATCAGAGACTACAGCAATGCTCCGTGCGTGGATACTTACTGAATATGCATAAAAATTTCATAAGAATCGGTCGTGCCTTTTCGGAGAGTATGGGAACAAACATTGTGACACGAGAATTTTATATATTAGATATGTATATGACTTAATACATCACTCGCGTGCTGCTAATTATACGACTGTGCTATTATCATTTATCTGTCATGTTTGTCTTCTTTTCCTTACGCATCGAGTCTTATCAACGAAATTTAATCAGCTGGCGTTTTTTATAAGGTATTATCCTTTGTTTTATACATGGTAACAACTGATTAATTCTTAATTTCTCCCACAAAACAGAACAAAAATACAAAAAAACTATAGGTACCAAGTATATGTGCGAAGCCTATATGTCATTGTCTATTTTCCTTATTCGTAAATGAATTAAGCAATTATGCAAAAATACTAACGATGTGGAAAATACCACCTTTATGCAACTCTAAATACAATGAAAGTGTAACGAGGTTAAAAAATTTCCACTCGGCTCGCCGTTAAATTGTAGGCTTTCATGCAATAAGAAAATTTTCTCGATTCCTTTTTTCAGTATAACCTAAAAACCTATTTACTATGAGCCCTGTATAGGAAGCCGTGTTAAGTTAAAAATACCGTTTTCGTAGATCAAAGACTTAGAAAGTACTTAGAACAGGAAAGCTACGAAAAACTTTTGGAAACAATAAAATTTGGAAAGAATTCGAGCGTTTGAAAGGCTTCGGGATAATCCGAATTGCATTTATTCAATATATTCTTTTTGGTGAATGATTATTAAAAAAAGGGTGCGTGTACTTATGTACGCGCGTAAGAAGTTATACTTCTTTGGCATTATTAAAAATAGTTTTTGATTGCATGCAAATAATTAATTACAATTAAATAATCAAAGACTGGAAAGGCATCTTCCGTGGGCAACTTCATTCTGTTAATATTGTGTCACATTGTCTTGTGTCAAATTTCACTCTCATCAACTTTTCATAACGCGCCTAAAGAAGTATAACTTCAATAACTTCAAAAAACTTATTTAGTTGTGTATCGGATACTCTAAGCGAGGGTTTTGATTTAATGACAAGAGCAAGATGAAATGTGCGGCATATGCATTCATATTTCTTTTGATTTGTGGTTGGGCTACTTATGAAAATAAAAAACTAGCTATTATTTACGGTTTATTTAGTGGTTTGGATCTTAAATCTCGGCGAAATAATATTTCTTTCGTGTAGTAGTGTCGGGTGCCCCGAAGGAATTTATAAAGAAGTCAACTTGAAGTTTGACGACTCATTGGTCTAGTGGTTAGTACCCCTGACTGCGAATCCCCCATGGATTCCCCAGGTTCGATCCCCGGCTGAGACGAACATCGATGTGATGAGCATTTGGTGTTGCGCTTAGGTCTTGGGCGTTTAAATATGTATTTATATGTCTATCTATCTATAATATGTATGTATATCCGTTGCCTAGTACCCATAACACAAGCTTCACCAGCTTAGCATGGGACTAGGTCAATTGGTGTGAATTGTCTTTTAAAAAAAAACTCAAGTCTATAAAGATTAAACCTGTGTGAAGCAGACAGGAGTGTGCCCCAGCTTTTGTTGGGATTATAGCAAGCATATATAATTTAAAAAAATATACCAATAAACTCAAGGGGGTATTAGAGTACATATGCCATATGGAAACCGAGAAGTGTGTCG